ATGGAGTCTGCGGAATCAGAAACCGAGGATATCCCTCAGGAAGGCCACCCATCAAACAGCGAGGCATACAGCAGCGAGGAGGGAAGTTCGGAGTCCAACTCCGAGGATAATGGTTCACGCAAGACAGAAGGTGCAAATGCGGGGAACCATTCTAACCTCCACCACCTCCTCAAATCTGTCCTCAAAGAGGAGACTCGCAGGTCTAAAGTGAAAAGGTCACCAGATCGTCCTTGTCCCCAGGTATTGGCTAATATCAGCGAGACCCGGCTGTTATTGGTCCAGATGTTAGCCGGTGCCAATAGGTGAACTCTTTCAGGGCATGACAAATATTGCAGCGGCCCTAGCTCAGTCATTGAGCGGTTCAATCCAATAAGTGTAAGGATTGTGAGTGCAATCCTGGGAAAAAATGGGGGAGATGTGACATGCCGAATTGTCACAGGGTTGTTGTGATTGTTTTGTGCTGCCCCCGAGTGAGAGAAAAGCTAGACGAGGGTGGTGTAGAGATTTCGGTTACACCGAAGACTCTATTTCAAACCACAACACACGACAGGGCGCAGCCATTTTGGAATAACTAAAGACCTGGATCGGAAAACCAGGTGACACCCAAATTCCACTTAAGAGATCAATGTGCACAATCAAATAAAGGAAAGGTCAAGTTATAATAAAATACAGGTTAAAAGGATAACGAGTAAATAAGTAAAACAATAATTAGAATAGAATACGAATGGAAAATTAATCGGCCAGAGCAGCTGACGTAATCGGCCTAAATGCGGCACGGCGTGTAAACAAACAGCCGGTACGAGGCAGAACAGACCGGTATAAACCGGTAAACAAGCGATTCCAGCTGGAATACCCCTGCTTAGTACTAGGGGAAAGGGGAAAAAGCACGTGACCAGGTAGCAACCAGGCAGTATAGACCCCTTGCAGTCACATCCCGTTTTTACCAAGTGCTGGGATGCGCCGCCATGTTGGAAGCATAGTATGATCAGACACACACACACACACACACACACACTCACATCAATGACATCACTGCCTTGTGATTCCTCCCGAGTTAACCGCCAAGCCAGTGATGATAACACCTGGTGTTACTGTTGGCAAGTGGAGTCCTCATGCAGTCCGGAAGAATGATTGGTTGAGACAATCAAAACTGTAAACTCAGCTGGTTTCACTACACGTGTTTACAGATTACTTCGGCACCAAAGGGCAAATGGTTTTGTCCAGATTGTAAAAAAACAATGGCTCTCATTAAACGCAAAGTTACCAAACCGTGCCCGTAACTCGAAATATGTGATGTAAATAAAAATTGTGATATTGCTGTAGTTTAGATTAAAATGAATTGTATTGCATCGTAGTGTATGTTTCACGGACTTGTTTCTAACAGTGTTGTTTCTAGAATCTATAAGAAAGTTTCGTGGAACTAGTTTTCATCGTGATTACTAATTAGTAGCATAGACATAGTGGTGTTTCAAGACTTGTTTATTTAGTACTTATCTGGTAGAACGTAATTAATCAGGTTGCGTGGAGTTGGAGGAGGAAGAGGAGGAGAGACAGAGAGGGAGGAGGAGGAGGAGAAGAGAGAGAGAGAGAGAGGAGAGGAGGAGGTGAGAGGGAGGAGAGACAGAGAGAGAGAGGAGAGGAGGAGGAGAGAGAGAGAGAGGAGGAGGAGAGAGAGAGAGGAGAGACAGAGAGAGAGAGGAGGAGGAGAGAGAGAGAGAGGAGAGACAGAGAGCGAGAGAGGAGAAGGAAGAAAGAGAGAGGAGGAGAGACAGAGAGAGAGAGGAGGAGGAGAAGAGAGAGAGGAGAGACAGAGAGAGAGAGAGGAGGAGGAGAGAGAGAGCGG